TGACCCTGAGTGATGTCGTTGTGCGAGTAAAAGACACGAAGCTCGCTGTCACGTTTTCGTTTAAAAGCTTGTTTTTTCTTTGGAGAATTGAATGCCGTGTAACAAACAATTTTCTCGTAACATAGTTTATTTGAATTTTTCTCTGATAGGATTAATTGATAAAGAATTAAAAATAAATCTTGAGATTGAAAAATAAAAACTGCATTATTTAAAGAACAACTTTATCATCACCAAACTCTAGCAATCGTTCAACAATAAGGAATTTCGGCATTCTTTGTTTCCATTTTTATCATTTTTAAATCATCGAAATTAAAACATATAAAAACCTGTACCAAAACCTGTCTTATGTGATATGTAAAAGTTGTTCTACGTACCAATATTGATCAGCCTATGTTGTTTCAAACTCAGACACTAAAAATAGCTCAAGTGCATTTTTATTTTATTAAAAAAACATCAATCTCGTATGTATGTAAAGGTTACTCTACACTACAATATTGACTTGCCTATGTGTGTTCAAGCTCAGACACTAAAGACAATTCAAATGTGATTTAATTTTTTTTCATGTTATAAAAGAAGAATATTAGTAATAGTTATTATGATTGTGGTTTTAGATTGAAATTATGAAAATCTTCACGATTTTACTTTGATTTCTTTTGTTTTTTACTATTTTACAAAACAAAATGTTGTCAATATTAATATTTAATATTTAATATAGCATTAGGCATTAATGTTTAATATTAGGTCAAATTTGAAACACGAGATCAAAAAAAAAATAAAGCGAGTATTGATGTCATATTTGCGAGACTACACCTCTAATTTCTTAATAAAAAAAAAGCCTTCGTTAACACAGGATAAACAACTACACAATTGTAGGGGTAAGCGTGCAATTCACGTACAGACTGCAATTGTGTATATAGAATATAATTGTTTTCTGGGTGCCCCTCCCTAGTTGGTTTATTATTTGTGAAATAGTGACTATTGGTCAATTTAATAAAAATCATTCTACTATTTTTTTTTTTTTTTTTACAGTTTTCAATGGTTTTGTATAATATTTTTGTTTGTTACGATTTTTCCTACTTCTTGATAAAGTCCATAGGTAATATTCTAGCATCAGAGTATCTCCTTGTTCATTCTTCAAAATATTTTAATTATTTAACTGAAAAGCTATTTCCTTTATTTATTCATAAATATGAAACCCTCAACCATCAAGAGGGATTAAAAAAGATACATTTCCAGTTTACTATTATTGGAATAGTAAAGCATGGATGCAAAACAATAAAATGTGCGTTGCAAATAAAAAATATTATTTGCATATTTTTAACGGATAATTTAGAGTTAAATTTCATCACTTTCCTCTAAACATAATTAAGCACCTTCAACCATGCAATATAGGGATAATTCGTTCTTTTAAGGTTTGTATTAAATTATTTACATTTATAACAATGTATTTACAGTCTAATGTTTATTGTAAAATTTTTGATAAGGAACAAAACCATTTAGATCCGAAAGAAATTGGCATTATAAAGGCAATAAATTTTGTTGGATTAATAATTGCTGGATAGAAACTGGTATTATTCCTTTAGATTATGAAGAACAAATCGGAAATGCAACAAAATTAACACAAAATATTATAAATTATCAAAGAGACGATGTTGATAACTTAACTGATAGATTAAATTTCAGTTCAGCATTAAAAACAGAGGAATATATACCAATTGATGATGACGAGATTAATGAAAACTCAAAAAATCGATCTAAAAGGTCATTCCGTTAATGGTGGAATTATTGCCAGTATTGTAAATGTCATTTAATTTCATCTTTAATATTTGTTAATTTGCATTTTATATATATAATTTTAATTTTAATTTTAATTTTAAATACTCGATTTTTTTTTTAGCCTGAAACATACAGAGGCAATTTCTTGGCTTCATCTGCCACAGGATATGCCTATGTGGAAGGAGAAGGAATTACTTTTGAAAAGGATACACGTAATCATAAAGAAGGTTACAAAGGTAAAATCAATAAGAAACACAACTGCAAATATAATAAACTAGGTTACAATTCTAATGTGAATTTGACAGTTGTAACCGGAGCTTCTGAATTGTATTTTCCATAAAGCTTTTTTTTAAAAAAAAAGATCCTCTATCTTTTTGATTTTTAACTATTTTATGTATCATCATCATTTTTTTTAAATAACTATTTATATTCATCTTTACTATTGAAGCGTTATTATTATTTTAAAATCAATTGTACTTTTTGCTAAAATTTTATATTTTTTAATAAAGCTTTATTTTTTAATAATAATGAAAAGGATGAATGAAATATTCTATACAAATTTAATAATGATAAAATTAAATAATAAATTATAGTTATTTATTAATTAATCTTTGAGAAGTACTTGTACAATATGTGCTACTTTCATATTTTTTAAATCTGTATATGTTTGTCCGGTACCAACAAACAA